GGCCCGACCCCTGCTGTCTTGACAGCCTTGTTCAGCTGACAGTGGCCTGTGGAAGGCCCAGGGAGTGGTACATGAAATCCTGGTACAACCCAGAGGAATAAATGCCCCCCCCACATACACACACACACATGCACACGCACATACATGCACACACACGCACACACACGCGCACACACACACACACGCACGCACACACACACACACACACACACACACGCACACACACACACACACATTATTCTGGGTCCAGGGCAAGGAAAGGCCATGAAAAATTTGAGCTATGTTTAGATTACAAGAGGAACTCACTACCTAGCAGGATGTTTTACATTACAAAAAACCTAAAATAAAATTGACTCTCTGATTGTAAGGTTAGGAAATTCATTTGTCCAGACTATGTCCATATTGTAAACATTACAAAAAACCTAAAATAAGATTGACTCTCTGATTGTAAGGTTAAGAAATTCATTTGTCCAGACTATGTCCATATTTTAAAAGTCATTACTAAATAAATGGGTTCTGGTAATCCCAGTGAACTTAGGTTTGCAAGAGTGCATCCAAGCACTTTACCTATTGAGCTGTATCCACAGTTCATAAATTTTGAGATCATCATTTTTTACTTTCAAAGTGATGTTTTAGTGTTTTCATGCAGTCTCGTAAATACTATTTGTGTCCCTTAAGATTAATACTCATGTGGCATTATAACTGAGAATTCTTGCATTTGTTCTCCCCATGTGCTACAAAGCAACTCAGGTACGATATTTCCAAAATCAGGCAGGGAATCTTGGATGCTAAAGATCAGAATCACTTGGGTTGTGTTCCCCTTTCTAGAACCAGTTGTGAGACCCTCAGCCTGAACAGTGAGGAGCTGCAGTGAAGATAAAGCAGAAATTTAAAGTCAACATGCCTAGTGGAGATATTTAAACTAAAAAATGGCCTAAAGAGGCAACTATTAGAAAAATAAGTTGTAATCAAAGAGGAAAAGTGGAATGCCAGCCATGTACACCCAAGGATGGACTGTGCATGTGGGACAAGCAGTGGTCCTTTAGGCTGTACTTCCTGGAATCTTAATCAGGGTCTTATGGATGTGAATCTGGCTCCTGGCTAAATGCTGAAGACTGCAAATGTGGAGTGTGTTCTTACATTTTAGAATGATGGAACACAAAGGCAGCTAATCCCATAGTCTACCCAGAAGGGATCATTAGGATTATAGAAGAAAACTTCCATAAATTAAGGAAAGATGTACCTATACAGATACAAGAAGGACATACAACACCAAATAGACATGACGAGAACAGAAACTCCCACGGCATATCCTAATAAAAACACTAAATTTACAGAACAAAGAGAGGATACTGAAAGCTGCTAGAGAAAAATAACAAGATACATATAAAATAAAACCCATCAACATTACAGCTGACATTTCAATGCAAAGCATGAAACCCAGAAAAGCCTGTACCAATGTATTCCCAATTCTAAACAACCATGGATGCCCACCTCGAATACTTTATTCAGAAAAACTATCTATCATGGTTGAAGTGGAATGGAAATTTTTTCATGACTTGAATAGACTGAAATAATTCATATCCAACAAACCAGCCCTACAGAGAATACTCAAAGCAATAAAAGGGACCAAAGAAAGAAATGAGTGTACCAAAGAGGCTACAGAAAAAAACAAAGAAAGGTATAACAACAGAAACACAAAATAGGGCCACAAACACAGAGAAACTAAAATGATAGTATCTAATACACACCTTTCAATAATAACGCTAAATATTAATGGCCTCAACTCCCCTGTCAAAAGACACAGGCTGGTACAATTGGTCTAGAAAGAAAACCCATCTTTTTGTTTTCTACAAGAAACACATCTTATGTTCAAAGATAGGCACTATCTTAGGTGAAAGAATAGAAAAAAATATTC